AAGGTAATATCTTGACCTTCTCATTATGCGCTGAACTACGTCACCTTCGATGATTGTCTAGTTGGCAAATATACCATAATGTTTACTCAATTTTGTTAATACTACTTACATAAGTTGGTTGCATTAGTCCATAAATGTCCTATCAATAGACACTTCAATGACACATTTATATCCCCGTGAAACCTACTGTTTTATTTCGAAAAAATGTATTTTTGTGTTTTTACTCCCTAAAGCACTTTTCTAAAAATACTAAAACCCTACCGTTTTGCTAGAAAATACAAGTGTTTTATTTTATACTAACAAACTTTACAACAGTATGTTTTCAATTAAAACGCTGTGTTTCAATGAAAAACATGAAAGTGCTTCCAAGATTTACAGTTGCACTGTACTGTTGACCCACACAAAATTTAAGCAAATACCTGAGTTTGAGATCATGCGACAGTTGTGAAGCTTGTTTTCTGCCCGTGTGCTAGCTATCGCTTGCCGGCAATGTGATAACAATTGTGTTTATTGTAATACAAATGAAAATAAAATGCGATATTTGCACTACCGCGAATGAAAAATAAATTATGTACTGAATGTATTCGCCTATAAAATAAAATTGCACTTAAATTCATGGTGATATGAGAATGAGAAACGTGTGCGCAGTTGCGATGAAAAGCCACACCAGCTGATTAAACGCCCATCATGTGGAATTCAAGAGTTGTGCATATATGCGTCTGCTTATACTTCCTCCGGGGCTGATTTAATGGCACTAATCAATATTAAACGAATAAATAGTCTGTAAATACGTTGAGAAAACATTAGATTTAATCATACACCATGTTTCACTCCAACGAACATTGAACAGTGATTCGATTGTTTCGTCAACTCATCAACATAGTGCCGTAACGATCTCACGTACGTATGGTACATGAAAACTCTTTTTATCAGACCATCTAGTGCAGTCGTCATTAGCATTTGAACCAACACACTCGAGGTGCATTCAAATCTGTATTACTTCACTATATAAACTCAATAAGCATGCCAAAGACGTCCGTCCTTTGAGGTCAACATTAACAGTACATTTTATTTGCTCCCTATCCATGCAAGTCATGTTGATGTGCTTGGCAATCGATCAGTCGGTTTGCGGCTTCCAGGTGTGATTGCCTAACGAGGGAGAGAGATTCGTTCAACTAAATTAGTCATCGCGAATTCCATATTTGACAGGTTTCATTAGATGAGGAAAATTATTTTAGGTTTTACTGCGTTGTTTGTGTCACTGCAGAAAACATTAAAATTTACCCTCAGGTCAAAGAATCACCATTTTAATTACACTTAAGCGACATGCTTTTAATATAATGACTTTCATCGTGCTCATTGAAATGTCAGAATCACAGGTCGGATACCATACTAACGTTTTAGTAATTGGTCGGGGATACAAAGTGAGCTATTTAGATGCACTGTCATCTGTGACGCTAATAGCAGCACTGATGGAATCACGACAAAAACTCGTTCAAATTCCGTTTTTGAAACTACTATTACAAAAAGTAATGGGGTTTATACAGTAATTACTTACAAACCAAAGGCACACCTATATTGTTATACGCACCATTATATTCTAGAGAAAACCTTAAATTAAAAAAATTGTAAGCAAAAAAACTTGGTGTAGCAAACGGACGACATTTCCGTGCCTTGTGATTACCTGATGTAGTTGCACTATTTTTCTCCCTTTTCGGCAGATTTACCAAACATGCCACAATCACCAGCGATTTCACGATGATTGACATTTTGACCACAGTGATGTAAAACAATTGTCTCCCATTAGCACATACCGTGCTGCATATCATTCACAGTAGTGACATTTAGATCGATAGGAACTGATCCCATGCTGGGCGTGCGATGTGGCATATTGAAGTTAGGTATGAGCAATTCGTGAAATGTATAAAAAAAACGACAAAACAAAACTAGCTACCCAAGTCTAATGCAATATGCGCCAATACAGGACATGATTGTACATTATTGTTTTCATAGCTTAACATGGATAAACATGAATACATTTGCTATATTGGATTAACAAATATGTAAATATATGTTCAGCGAGAATATATATTAGTGTTTCGGAACCAAAAGAAATAAAAATAGTGATATATTAAAATACAATAGGGGATAAACCAATGAACACATTTGATAAATGACGATGTCACTTCAAAAACTATACTGGTATAGATGGTCATCGTCCGAATCGCACTGTCCTGTGTTTTCCACCTATAGGCCACTACACCATACCGTGCGGGATCGCATAGGCTAATTGCGTATCTTAAGCAGTGAGATCTGATTGGGCGTGCTGAAACAAGGCGTCCAATCAGCTTGGACGTACCAAATTATAAAACAAAATTCCATTTCCTGTTTTTTTTCGCTATGAAGACATCCTTCCTACACAAAACTGCGTCGATTGCCTGTACCTGGTGAGGCTTGAGAGCACCAACACCAAAAACTTTCTCAATTTTATAATCAACAATATCACAATTCATGGGCGCCGCCATTTTGTTTAAAAGAGTGTGTGTAACACACAAACTGATTGGACAATAATTAGCCGCAACTGACTACTGGGGGCGCTGTTAACATACGCATATTTGATGGTCGTTCTGCCAAGGTCTGTTTAGTGGCTTGGCCGAATAAACTTAGACCTTGGCTAGGATATTTTAATTATCTGTTCTGTCATGCAGTCGTGTATATGACATTATTTCATTAGATGTATCATGTAAATATAATTGCGAAATTAAAGATTATTTAATTAATTTCATTTGCCGATTTCGTACGAATTTTTGTATTGGCTGATTACGGACGAGGAAACGTGACAGCATTTACGCATACATTACTCAAGGAATTTGTGTTCATATCGTGGTTCTTGTCTACATAATAGTAATTATACATTGCCATCTCATATAATAATTCATTTTCAATAGGATTGCCTCGGTCATAAATATGATCTGAACAAAAAAATATTACCATACCTTGTACGTGTCACTTATTATTAAACATCGATGTCGCATGCTACAAATAACAGCACAAACGTACCTTTCAAAAGGATGGGATTGTTTTGGCCTCATTTCACGTCAAATGTAAAACATCATTGCTGCCCACTCATTTTTTCTGTCACACTGTAAATATATGTACACATTGTTATTGTTCTCTGATAATAATATGATATATGTGAACGTATCCTGTGAATTATTCGTATGAGTCGTTATTTTTTTTTTTTTTGTAATTGGAGATCAGAGTACAATATATTGAAAGTGTACTACACAAGCGCTCTACAACCATACCTGTCTTCCGGGCTGGAATGACTGAACAAGCCATTGACATAATTTCTATGAACAGACGGTCTGAAATTAGTGATGCTTATTTATGTGTATTACACCAATAACACGTAGTCATTGGTTGAATTATAATATACATTGCTCAAAATGTTTACGCGCAGCAATTATCTTCCGTGAATTGTGACTCGGTGCGGTGCGCTCAATGCAATTGTTCGCTTATAAGCACGATTGCCGTATACACTGCTGTCCATAAATATAAGAGATCACTTTATCTGTTATATTGACATACGTAAATTGGTTACTCTTAGCAGCAGAGTAGTACTATCGTCTGCTTCACTTCCCCGGCCATACATTTTTGAATATGTGTATGTTGACTTCTATGCTGTATAATACATCACTAATATTATATCATAAAATCCACACGTCAGCAAACACGTACGCGCTTATGTTGCACGCAATTATCATCGAACAGTTTATTGATACCATGTACATATACACAATACAACATTTTGTATCCATATATCAGACAGTTACAATTCCAATCCACATATATTATTTGAAATGCAATGAATACTCAAAATTAAATACAGACTATTACGTAGCTCGCAATATCAGGATAATAGAATCCCAATGATCGCATAAATAATGATAAATCATACGTGGTTACCAAGGCAACCATCCTAGACCTGGATCCAAGAATTGTACATATGTGACTTTCACAGTGTTTTTTAAGTTTCTCTATATTTAGAAAACATTCAACATTATATTCACATTTTTTAAACACAGATTAGAATCAAGCACTCAATCGCATGATTTGTAGTATTCAGAAGTTACATGTGAATGACCGTTTTCCATTGGTATATTAATCCACAACCATAGTTTTATTATTGATGTGTAGCCACTAACTATCTCCGTGAAACTGGAATTTGTTAAGTACGCTACTTAAATTTATCACCAAACTGTTGTGAAAGTGATTTTTAAAACATGTCAATACAAATTATTAGTGTATCGAGCATTATAAACAATATTTTTTATTCTTGATGATAGTATAATACAAATACTGTTTATGGAAAAGTTATCAATAACAAAACATGTCTGCTCATGCACAAGTCAAACATGTTCCAATATAATGTATTTGATAACTGATCTACGGAAAACAGTAAATGGGATATGAGACACTTGCTAAGTGAATACTACCGGCGGAACCCAACCATTGACTTTCGCTTGTTGAGGTGAGCTATTATTTATCAGGTCGAAATAATATGAAATAGTGAAACATTGCGTGATTGGTTTGCACGTTATGTTGAAATGTTACCACCGGCGTGAAATAACACTTTAAACGGTCAGTTCCAAATATTTTTTGAAAGTACAAAAAAGCATACTAACAAGGCAAACCGTTAATACCAATGTAGACAAACACTTAGTGACCGTCGTGGAAAGCATTATTTTTATTTTTATGGAGATTGCAAACATCCATTTAAATATACATTAGGTAATAACGTTTAGAATTGTTGCTTTCCACGCACAGCTACTGGGATCTGCACTTATTTGTGTCCATCAAGCCAGTCAAAATTAAACAGATGTCGTACGAGGTTGTGTTTAGATATATTGAATACCGATAATATTATATAGGAAAGTCCACACCAACCACCTCCGGTGAAACTCGAATTAGATTACAGCGGAAAAACATCAACATACCTTTTCTAAAACTACTGTTACGAAAAGCATATATTATAGGATTCATACATGAATTGCTCACCACAAGACAGACTGTTATGTTATAATATACGCCATTGAAATCTACAGCAACGCCAAGGTTGTAAATTAAGAAAATAGTTTGGTTAGGAATATAACAAATAGAAAACGATATCACAACAATACACAACATTCTAATAACGTTCCTCCGTGCTGTGAGTTTTTCCATCCCCGGGCTGCCATTGCCAAAGATTGATTGTATTTCCCTGGCATCAATTCTTAAACTTCGTATGATACGTAGGTACGCGAATAGCATAGCGGTCGTGGGGATGATCAAGGTAACGATAAAACAACTTATTCCAACCACACGCTGCAGAGCCACTGAAGGCCACTCTAGAATACACACTTCATCCGGTGAGACGTGAAACACGTATAAGAAGTAAGAATTTAAAATTATTGCAATCATCCAAATTGTTAAAATAGTTAACGCTACTGTTTTTCTGTTGAAGGTAGATTCGTATTTGAAGGGATATATAATGGCCCAGTATCGTTCCAGTGTAATGGCTGTGAGGTGTCCCACAGAAGCGTTGCACGCCGTCCATAATGGAAATTCAGAGAAGATTAATCTACAAAGCATGTCTCCAATCACACCTGAGATTATCCATCCGCCCGTTAGCTTTAGAGGTATCATAACAACACATGTGAATAGGTCAGTTGCGGCTAAGCTCACGATGAATATATTTGTCAGGCATCTCAAATTCTTCACAGAGCAAAACACAACAATTACAAGTGTGTTCCCAATAACGCCTACTGTGACTACGCTGATATAAAATATCTTCTCCCAAAATGGATGCAGTCCATTAATCCAACCCGTGTCCTCGGGTCCGCTAGATACATCGCTCGTGTTGTTAGTCAAATTGCTTATGCTGTAGGTAATATTCATCCTTCTATTTGTAGTTTAGATCCGCGATGAGAAATATAAGATGATCGTTCAAACCCATCAACCAGACAATAACGTACTGCACAAAACAAGATTTGCTTTGACATGGGGCACTCAGCGGGTTGTTAGGTAGAGATAACTTATTTAAAAACATTAGAGATTCGCAAACATCCTCTTGATGTCATTTCCGCATGACACAAGAGTAAACATCACAAATACAGTGAACAATGTTTGATTCTGTGTTTCCTTTTGTCACGTGAATATAAATGTCCTTCACTCAAACAGACATATTGTATAATATGACGCATTTGATTTAGGTAAATTAAATTAATCATTGGCTAAATTGGCAATTGGGGTGGGGAAGATTCGAACGGAATGCATATGCATCATATTGCAAATTAAATAAAAATAGTCTGTATACGCACATTATTCTGATTTGCCGAATTCGACAGCTGTGATCACATGTATGTAACTACTTAACATGTAGCATGTATGTACACTCACATTCCATCCCAGTGAATAATTATATAAACATTGTATCACCGCAAAGGTTATATTAACTTGTAGTATTCAGTGGCCATTCACAGTATTTTTATTAGGTTATCTTTATTTACAGAACATATGGGTAAATTGTATTTTGCAGCATCTCGCTCTGACCCGATTTTTAGTATTATTGCTGTTTTAATATTACCATTGTCATGGATGTTCCAATTCAGCAATAACCTCCTGCCAACATCGGGTATACCACAAGATATTGCACAATTCACATGGGATACCCGACTTCGGGGGGGGGTATTTCTATGATATTATACCAGTATATAGACAATTCGATAAAACTAGTAAAACAGGTGTTTACTTGAATCTACTACAAAATCATCATTATGGGCCTTGAACATGAACATTTATAAAAACAGTATGTAGTTTTACACCAAAAGTACGCGCAACACAGTTCAAATTAAAAAAATATTTTATTCCGCGTTTTATTCCATTGATAGTACATTTGTGACTCATCATAGTAACTGTGGATATTTGACGTTCAGCGATGCTTGGCTCGACCGACGTTTGGGACAAACAAAAAAAACAATATTATGCTTATATATTGTCCAATATTTTTCCGAAATTCAACCACTATATTTCCCTAAAAGTCAAATACTACCAGTTTTATGTATTTCCGCATTAAACCTGTAGTCAATTCATGTTCCAGGACCACTTTGTTCAGCAAAACTGTGCATTATCAGCCGATATAATATTAATTGCATATGTAAATTTTGTGTTTGGACCAATCAAATCGATGTGAAGTTTTGACATTATATTATATAATATATTGTATTTTAACATAACTTTTGACGCCGATGCACAACAGAGATATTAAGTATATATGTAGCAATAAAACATTATTGACATGGAAATTGTTATATTTATATGTCCATAATTGTTTTTGTTGAAATGCTATATATGACTATTGTATTTAGGTTGATGTAGGTGAGTATCCAGTGATTCTTATTGTAATTGCCCTACATGACTTTTATTTACATATCTATGTTATTTCCATTTTCCGATACAAATTACTTTTAGATGAAGAACAAAGAGTGTATTTTTTTGAAAGATACTCGTATATATGCATTTATTGCATTCCTGTTTGTTTTACTTGAAGAGCAAAGATGAATGAATGATAGAATGAATGAATTAATGGATGGGTGGATGAATGAATGAATGAAAATTCATATGTGAAATTCAGCAGCGATGCTAATGTTTAACTCTATTTATCCCTTCTAAATTGTAAACACGTTCATTAGGCATATATCTAGCAATTTTATATTGATGTGTAAGTATATCAATTCACCAAATGCTGCCAGCTGATAAAACTGCTGTGATCGAAATTAAAATATATCTACTATTTTCATACACCAGAAAAACAGGATATGTCTACCTTAATGTAGTCGAACAATGCCGGTTATATTACTAAGCATAACAAATGAAATATTGATAGAATACAAATTCGTTATGTGTTGTCACATAATTGAAATGAGTATGAATCGATAATCGATAGATATTGCTTATTCAATAGTGATCATGCATCCACTATGACCATGTATATGGAAATAATTGGTTCGAATCAAATGTATTGCTGTTAAAAAAAGCTTCTATATTCAAATAGTGAGGGGGTAACTTGGTCATGTGAGAACGAACTGAAAAACTCTGTCCACCAGTAAATAACAAGTCTCAGAAAAAATTGTATTTAACTAGTAAACGTGGACTGTATATAAAACCCTTCTAAACGCTGAGCGACACCTGTCTGCTACTGAAATATATATCAATGTTTGACACGTCGCTATTGTTCTGAACATACCTTTCTTTATCCCGTGACCGACACTTTTCTCAAGAATTGGTCGCTTTCTTCGTTAGAAACACCCGCGGTTACCCTTAAATGATATAGTTCCTTTGTTGCAGATCATCTGTGATTACGAGTTAATCAGGGAGTTGTTCTCCCATGATAAATGAGCGTAAGAGTGCTCCCATGAAAAGCCAATATGTGGAGTAGTCACTCTACATTATGAGATAAGTAGGTGATGGATGAAGGAATAATGGAGTGGCCTGTGATAACACACATTCTATCAAGTGCATAGTGTACATCCGCGTAATTGCATTGTGTACATCCGGCCAGTTGTATTTCTGCACAAACGGCGTTACATAACGCTTAACAATTAAACCAAAATTACGAACAACAACAATACAGTTTAATTCGGTAAGCGATCACATGCATTGCTCAACTATTAGTAAACATATTTCGCATAGTAGACACGAAACACAGAATGCTATAACTTATCTAAATGTAAAGATAGAATTTTATTTGATAGCTTGAAATATAGACATACGTACTGTTAAAGTAATTTTCAACTCAATTCAATAAAGATATTGTACAAAAATATAAACGAAGGTGAGGAATTAATTCATTGAGTGCATTTAAACAATTTTTCGTTCCTCTCTTTCAATTCCTATTACCCAATTGTTGAGGTCGGTAACAAGTATGCTGATTTTGAGCAAAACTGGTACCATTGTAGTTTTATTATACCAATAAAACCATGTCTCCCCAATTTAATGGAAAACACTCGACTGAATTATAAATATTCAACAAAACAATTGATTCATGTTAGAAAACCATGGTCATAGTGTTTATAGTGTTAATAACAATGACAACAATAATAAAAACAAGATTAGTATAAACACAGTAGTGATATTATAGTCGATAGCAAGTATATTCCAGAGGTACATTAATAATAGATATAAGTTGTATTCATGTATTTACTTATTATGTGACCTGTCGCTTTTTGTTCACACACACACACAAGATAATTATAAATTTTAATTATATGCACACATGTTTCACACTACATTATGCATTGTAGTAATTGGAGGGAATGTGGAATGACATAAATTCATCCGACTTTTACAAATCACGACTGCATTCCAGTGTAATCCACATAAAAATGAGGCGTACAATTCGAATACGTACAAAACGCGCATATGACTATATTGATACTGATTAGTGCGCAAATACACCAATTATGTTGCCAACAGTTGTGTGAATGAATTATAATCTATAATGCTCTCGTGCATGTGGATGAGATAAAAACAGAAAATATGAACCAATTTTCGCTTTCCTGCAATACATTCGACTCCCCCCCCCCCCCCCATAAAATGTTTTTTATACATATAGAATATGTTTTATGTATTTCTTTCAGGTAAAGAGTTAAGCGATATTGTTGGTACAATGTACCATACAACGAGTAAATAAGAAGGCGACATAACACGTGCAATGCAATTGATTACTCAGCAATCACCGTATACACTTCTGACAGTATAAAATAAAAAGATCATTTCATATATTATATTGACTTTTGTAATTTGGTTACTCCTGACAACTGTGAACAGAAGAGTACTCTCGTCTGATTCACTTCCTTTGCCATACAGCGTTTGACATTTGACTCCCACGCTACAAATTACTCATAATATTAAACAGTCATGTCACGCACATGTCAGCAAACACGCACTCGGTAAAATGTAGAAGGCTGTTATTAATGTTGAAAGTTAAAAGCATTTATTTCAATGTAATTCATGATCCACAATGCATGATTCTTATATCAAACGATAAGTTTCAGTCCAACGATATTTTTTAAGAATGAAAACATTGAGTACTCAGTTTGAATAGAAAAAGAAATTACATTAAATTGCTGTGTATACTTGAATTTCAATTACATATGTGATAGTTACAGTGTGTATTATCATCTAGTTTACACAGAAAAAAAACGGTGAAACAGAGATTAGGCACCAATTGGTATTACTATAATGTCAGTTCACACCCATAGTTGTCAAAACCAAATAAATGGTGTATAACCACTAAGCATCTGTTCAAAAGAAACTAGCGTTTTAAAATACTATAGTTTGATCTCCCAACAAACTGATAACATGCGACTGTTTCAATTTGAATCATTTTAGGGTACAAATCACACCTAATTACCTAAATACTTTTTTTTTGAATATCTCTTCAATTAAAGAAATGTTATTTTATTGTCGGTTTATAAAAAACTGTTTAAACAATATTTTACATTCTTTTTGATAATAAGATATATAAATACTGTTTATATAAAAGTAAAAGAGTAAAGTGAAAAATGTACATTGGCGCGTATTTATGAGTGACATGAAATATTCGCGAAAACAGAAAGAGAATCGTATATTTCATTCACGAAAACCTATTGAAAAGATAAGTATTGTCTCTCACAACATGCAATGAAAGATGTTTTCTTTGGTCAGTGCATACATATGTGTGGGGGAATATTCAAAACTCATAAAGGTAACAATGTTTCATGGTAGATTGTAATTTATATAATTCTGCATTACCTTGATTATATACAATCTATGACGTAATTGAATTATTTGTTTGAAATTCGAATAAATCTTATAAGAATAATTAAAATGTATCAAATAAAGATGTTAGTTAATAC